GTTTAATTTAGACTTAGTTTGAATAAATTGATTTTTTAATGAAAATACGTATTTTCATCTACCCGGCAATTTGACGAGTGCTCGTAGAGATAGGTACATAAGAAACGCCACAGTAAACCTAGTGTTAATCGTGCGTGTTACTTATTCTATTAATTAAACGGAAATGAAGTCTTTTCTCTCTCGAAAACAATGTTATTAACCACGGGTGAATGGCGGCGCAAGAGCTGCTTGGCCATAGAATATGTGGTGAGAGTGGTAGCGCTGATTGTCACGTAGGATGTAGTAGGAATCTACTTGACGACAGCAGGCTGCTATAAATCTGTAGCGGATAATTATGGACTAGAATTAGGATTTGTCCAAATTATTATCTTTACACTAGTATTTTATGTAACATTTATTTTTAACAATCATAAACTATTACAGTTCCGAGTGGATAACAATGTAGTCGTTAATCGCGCGTGTTATTCGTTCAACTAGTTAAGCGGAAGTAACAATGTGTCTTTTGTTTCTGGAACCATGGAGCCTGTATACAAGGAGGACGATCGCTGTGTTATAAATGTGGCTACAATATTCACAATGAAAGGACGATTTCTATTGCTACTAGAGAGCGCGTCGATTCGCTGGATCTGACTTGTTTTCTTTACTGTTAATGCAATCGACAACAACAAAATATTTCATCATCTTAAACAAAAAATTCAATTACAATTCACATTTGTAAAAAAATTAAGGCTTCGTGATTAAAACAACGAAGCTTCGTAATTAAAACAAAAACATCAAAGAGAAATATTAATTTCATTTGTTTATTTATAAAATTACACGTACTTAAATCAAACTTAAGAACATCACCGCCGTTCTCGTGGATAATTATCGTACTCTACATTCACTCATTTTCAACAACACAAATTCGACGCAAACGCCTATCTCGATCGTCCTCCTTGTATAAAGCTCCGTTTCTCGAACAATGAAATTCTTAACCACCGTTAAGTGGCGGCGCTCGAGCTGCTTGGCCATAGAGTATATGGTGAAAGTGACGGCGCTAGGGTCACCTGGCCATAGAACATGCGGTGAGAATGGCAGCAACGGAGCTATTACGCCTGTTCGTTCGGCCGCATGGGTCGAGCGTTATCGATTTTACGTAGGAATCGCCAGCTGCTAGCGTCCGTCTCTCAGAATGGAGAGTAGATGAGGCCGAGTTCCTTTTGGACCATCTGTACGTAATATTTAAATAAAGTCATGCGGCTATAGGCGTCTGAAGCTCGCGCTCTCAAGATAGATCCTTCCCTCGGTGAGACACGAGGGGTGTTGATGTGGACGTTCTTGCTGCAGCCCTCATATCGAGTGAGTGGACACGTCCTAGGACGTGCGCGAGTGTACGCAGGTTGGGTGCGCGGAACATTTAAGCATGCCTGTGATATGGCAATGCCAAGGGTGAAAAACTTAAGGGACAGGAGGCATAAAGAACATTAGTGGTCGCGGTAGATCGCAACTCTTAAGGCTGCGGCTACGACGGCAAGAAGGCGATTCCTGAGAGCAAGGCGTAGTGATGATCAGGCGAGGGTGGATCTCTGCTTGGGGGACCGGCGCGAAGCAAAGAGGGTTTTAAAAAGGGCTAATAAAAAAGCCAAAGCCCTGGCCTGGAGAGAACTCTTAGAGACTATAGACTCAGACCTGTGGGGCAGGCCTTACCTCTTGCTCATGGGAAAACTAAGGCCGTTCGCCGTTCCGGTCACGAAATCGTGTGTGTGCAAAGCCAGACGACATCAAACAATTATACAACAAACTATGGGGCGAAAAACATCAAGGCACACTTCCCGAACTGGGTGAGCCGGAGCAGGCAATAAGAATCAAGGAGGTCCTTACCCCTATAACAAAAGTGGGGGTAAGGAAAAGGCTCGCCCGAATAAAGCTGGAATCAGCCGCTGGCCCAGACAAAATCAAAAAGGGCCAGCTTCTCCACGGGGATACCATCGAAATCCTCCGGAAGTTCTACAACCTTGTGCTAATTAATGGTAGACTTCCCACCTCGTGAAGGGAAAATAGGACCACTTTATTAAGAAAAGAAGGGACAGACCCACAAGACGCCAAAAGCTACCGTCCTATTACAATAAGCTTAATTCTGAGTCGGTTATACTGGGGAATAATCGACCAGAAAATTAGAGCCAAAGTGGTCCAAACACCCCGGCAGAAAGGGTTCACTGCCGAGAACGGGTGTTATAATAATGTGCACATCCTAAATGAAGTCCTGCGGCACGCTAAAACACATAATGGCCTGGTCGTAGTGCAGCTGGACGTGTCTAAAGCCTTCGACACAGTACCACACGAAATCATTGGGGCTGCACTACGGAAAAAGGGTCTTCCTAAATATCTCGTAAATCATATAGAAGACTCTTATAGGGATGTGCACACAATTATAAATTGCGGAAAAGAGGAGATCGCAATGAATCTCCTGCGACATACCTGAAAGGGCTAGGGATGTCTTTGTCGGTGGGAAAGTGCACCACCTTTCAAATTAAAAAGACTAAAGACTCCTGGTGTCTAGTAAACCCCGACTTGAAACTGAAAAGTGGAGAAAACATTCCGTACGCGGATGCGGAATGCAAATTAAAATATCTTGGTATGAGTATATCTTCTTGGGCTGGAATAGATCTTGAGGGCCTAAGAAACAATCTCTGCAGCGCACTAGAAAGAGTAAAGAAACTTGCGCTAAAACCATACCAGAAAGTCGACCTTATCTCCACGTACCTAGTCCCACACTACCTGTTTCAATTAACAACTGCAGTCCCGAATATCAGTCAGATAAGAGCACTAGATCAGGAGCTACGGGTAGTGATCAAAGACATTTACCACTTGCCACAAAGCACAACAAACGGACTGATATATAGTSGCAAGAAAGACGGGGGACTAGGTTTTCCTAAGCTAGAGATAGTGGTGGTATCTGTTAGCTTAAAAGCCGGGTTGAAATTCGCAAACAGTACAGACCCGGCGATGTAAGCTCTAGCTCTTGGCACAGGTATGGTGAACCGTCTAAAGAACCTGGCTAAGGCTGTTCGCATCAACTGGCCTGTAGTTGATGCGAAAAACATTGACAAATACAAAATAAGGGAAAAGAAAAGAGAACTTGCATCATGGGCCTCGCTCAGTACGCAAGGCAAGTCAGTTAAGTCTCTTGCTGACGACAAAATTGCCAAYGCATKGTTAYATAAGCCTACGCTCCTTAAACCATGCCGATTTATAACGGCCCTCAAGAKGCGTACAAACACTACAGCAAACAAAGTAGTATTACACAGAGTGAAGGCAATGGCGGATACGACTTGCAGGAAATGCAAAAGCCAGCCGGAGACACTGGCGCATATACTCGGCCAATGCCAAATAAATAAAGCCGAACGTATCCGCCGACATGACGAGATAAAGGATCTCGTCATGRATGAAATAATGAAAAGAGACTCAGAGGCAAAGTTACGAAGGTCACAATACAATCCCCTTCAGGCGGGAATCTCAAACCCGATCTGATGGTCAGAAATCAGAAAGGGGTCTTCGTGGTCGATATTACAGTCCGCCACGAAGACAATGATTACCTTGCACAGGGACGAAATGAAAAGTCAAGGAAATATAGCCCGTTGTTGCCTCTCCTGCAGCGKGAATATGGAGCGACCGCTGCAGAAGTACTACCACTTGTGGTAGGAACACGGGGTGCCATGCCCAAGGAGACGATCATGGATCTAAAAAAGCTGGGAATCCATGATCGAAAAACGTTTATAACAGTATCTTTAATAGCGTTACGTAGTTCCATTGAAATTTACCACAGATTCATGGACTACGATGGGCCCCGTTCGACCAGAAAYAGATAAATCTGGTCGACAAAATCTCTTGGCCAAGAGCCCGAATCAGGAAATGACGAAAAACAAAAAAAAAAAGTAGAAGACAACACAAACAATTTTTATTTATTTATTTATTTATTATTTTAAATATGGACGACAAATGACAACAAAGAAGGATAACCAAAAGAACATATATATATAAATTTTCCTTTTTTATTTATGGACAACATTGGATCTACCAATAGCATAACTGGGATTTTAAACAACACGGACCAATATGACATAAGAGGAAATAAACAGAAGACTAAACACGAACATATATATATATATATATATATGTTCATTTTATTTTATATTGACAAACTGAAAGACTCCTTTATAATAATCTATGGACTAGAATAAATACCCATTCGCTAATTTATTATAAAATAAAGATGTGGACTAGAATGAATATCCATTCGCTAATTTATTAAAAACTAAAGATGTGGCAAACCTGATTCGGTGCAAGTCGTAAAGTCCCCATACAAAAGAGCAAAATCGGACACGGCGGCAGAGCCAGTGCTTAGTGGGTAGCACTGGGCGKGTACCTCTACGTGGTTTCCCTAGAAACGGTAATACACTGGCTAAATCCCGTTACTCCAAATTGGAGACTCCGTTCAATACTAATTCTTCTAAGCCCTTGCGAGAATTCATTGGCAGATCAGTCTGACAGGTATCCTCCAAGAGAACGGAGCTCGGCTAAGAGTCCGATATTGTTAAGGCAGCTGTGCAAAGGGAGCGCTCAAAAAGTCAACTCGCAGAGCAGCTACATACGCCTATTGTTAAGGCCCACCACAAGGCCTATAGAGTGGAAAGTCCGTGGACCAAAAGCCACGCAGAAAATAGCCAAATGCCTCGTCATCTAATTAGTGACGCGCATAAATGGATTAACGAGATTCCTACTGTCCCTATCTACTTTCCAGCTAAACCACTGCCAAGGGAACGGGCTTGGAAAAATTAGCTGGGAAAGAAGACCCTGTTGAGCTTGACTCTAGTCTGGCGCTGTAAGAAGACATGAGAGGTGTAGCATAAGTGGGAGATGGCGACATCGCTGGTGAAATACCACTACTTTCATCGTTTCTTTACTTACTCGGTTAGGCGGAGCGCATGCTTCGAGCCCTTGTGCTCGATTGTCACGGTGTTCTAGAGCCAAGCGTTTAAGAGTGGCGTGAGGCTTTCGCCGATCGCCGTTAATACTCCCGCGTGATCCGATTCGAGGACACTGCCAGGCGGGGAGTTTGACGGGGGCGGTACATCTGTCAAAAAATAACGCAGGTGTCCTAAGGCCAGCTCAGCGAGGACAGAAACCTCGCGTAGAGCAAAAGAGCTGGCTTGATCTCGATGTTCAGTACGCATAGAGACTGCGAAAGCACAGCCTATTGATCATTTTGGCTTGAAGAGTTTTCAGCAAGAGGTGTCAGAAAAGTTACCACAGGGATAACTGGTTTGTGGCGGCCAAGCGTTCATAGCGACGTCGCTTTTTGATCCTTCGATGTCGGCTCTTCCTATCATTGCGAAGCAGAATTCGCCAAGTGTCGGATTGTTCACCCGCCAACAGGGAACGTGAGCTGGGCTTAGACCGTCGTGAGACAGGTTGGTTTTACCCTACTGATGACTAGTCTTTGCGATAGTAATCCTGCTCAGTACGAGAGGAACCGCAGATTCGGACATTTGGTTCACGCACTCGGTCGAGCGGCCGGTGGTGCGAAGCTACTATCCGTGGGATTATGTCTGAACGCCTCTAAGGCCGTATCCTTTCTAGTGAAAGGAGGCAACGATATCTCTAGGAGTCTCGTGAGTCGAAAGGCTCAAAACAATGTGAAACTACTAGGTGATCAGTCTTTGGGCCGGTCATCGCACGAGCCCAGTTTGCCGTACGGGACCAACGACCGTTGCTGGGATCACACCGAGCAACAGCACGGTCTCTAGCGGTCGATCTAGGGTCTCACAGTTCGATGTCGAGACTCGGAATCGTCTGTAGACGACTTAGGTACCTGGCGGGGTGTTGTACTCGGTAGAGCAGTTACCACGCTGGGATCTGTTGAGACTCAGCCCTTGGCTTGGGGATTCGTCTTGTCGGATAGACGAGACCCCTAATAATATGCAATATTGTGTATATCAAGAGAGATTAGTCGTAAGACATAAAAACGGAGAGAACTTTGTCTATATAAGACATATTTATATATGTCTTATGGATAGAGAAAAGACTCGTTTTGATGATAAATGACTATTGTAAAAATTGTAAAATGATACGACTATCGAACTTGGAAAAAATTCGAGCCGGTCGACTTGTTAAATGATGCGACTAAAGGACTTGGAAATAATTCGAGCCGGATGACTTGTAACTGATGCGACTTGTAATCTCTCGCCGACGCCGCCCTAAATAAATTATGAGTAATAAGTACAGAAATAAATTATTGAGAGAGAGAGAGGAAAGAAATGGAAGAAAATTCGAACTGTACGAGCAAAACACAAAGAATTAGAGTTAATGGATGAAATTTAAACGTAAAAAATATACGTCTAACATCCAAGCTCTTTTCTGCCGATAGGGATGATTCTCGAACGAGATTTTCTAGCGAGTGGAGATTGAGCGATTTAAAAAAAATGTAAAAAGGTGCTGATCGATTATACCGGATCGACGTTACGACGACGAACGAGAAAAGAGAGAGAGTGGAGATATATTAGCTTACGTTGTAAACGCCATAAATCCTTCCACCTTTCTTGGTATAGTCAGGGCATCCCTAGGTATGCTAGGGGGATGGGCTGCATTCCAGTCATTTTCTGGACTCGTAATGCAACAAAAAGAAGCGGATGAAATAGAGAGAGAGTAGTCAAGCAGAGTGGATGATGGTAAGATGCGTGCGAGGCCGCCGAGGAGACGGGCTCCTGGGCGGACTTCTCGGGCAAAACTTGGGGCAGTTTCGGCGGTGCCTGGCTAAGTCCTGCCCGTCGCTTCCCCTCTTATGAAGTGAGTTTAAAAAATGGTTGAATGGGACTGGCTAGTGCGTCATGGGATTAGTGGTCATGTAAAAATCTGTACATAGTGTATAGCTTAGGATAAGTTTATTTACCTCCGGAATGGATAAAACCCGACTATTGACTGCGCGGTGTATGAGTTGGATGGGCGCCTCTAGGAGAAAACTCTCTGTCGAGCGCACGATGGATACAGGAGTGAGCGTGTGTGTGAATAGGTGAGAGCATGGCTAATTCCGGCCAGACTCACAAAGGGAGGGGGCGTTGTACACTGTAAATGCACAAATCGTGCGGCTCGCCAGCCTCCCCCTTTGCATGGTAGCTCGTAAGTCCACGCGGGTAGTTTTTTTAGTCGGTAAGAATCCGACACTCCTTTAGGTACTGGGCCTCGGAAGTCTATGAAAGTTTTTCCTCCCGACGGACAAAAATATAAAAAAAGGGTTGTGTCAGGCCATACCGCGTCAACGATCATACCGCGTTGAAAGTACTAGTTCTCGTCAGATCATTAAAGTCAAGCAGCGCTGGGCACGGTTAGTACTTGGATGGGTGACCGCTTGGGAACACCGTTTGCTGTTGACACAAAATCCCCCTGTGGGAGGGGGGTTGTAGAATTCTCCCACAGTTTGTCCAGGCTTGTCGTAAGAGGCGACTAACTAGATAAGTCGGCCACGGCCGCTGCAAGGTGGAGTTTGTATTTTTTACGCACATAAAGCCTGGTATGAGTGTGTGTGCGAGTGCTGAATGAATGTCTGGGAGTGGCTATTCCTTTAATCTTTTCTTTTCTTTATATTTTTTTTTATTTTTTTATACTCTGTCCCTTTCGGGTTTGGAGGGCTTCCGATACAACTTTTCTTTTTACAAATATTTAACAACTCTTATATATTCTATCTCAATATATTTAACCCTTTTGCTACAGCAGTGTGCTCCGTCGGAGTGATGCCGCTGTACGGACCACCGTGCCGCCTGAGCAAAAATAATCGCTATCGCCTAAGCAAATAGAAAGGGAGAAATATCCATTTCTTTTCTCACTCGCACTCGCATTCACGACCGAGAGACCCAAAGATAACGCACACTAGCTCGCTCGCGTGTGAAGACCAACGAAGAGGCGTGGCTTGTTCTCTACTCCTAAAATCAATTTTACCAGTATTTCTCGCTTATTTTTGCAAATACGAAGATACACYTTAGAACATTTTTTATGTATTTTTCAATTCTCTACAACTTTTGTTTAAAAATTTTTTTGATTAAATGCCAAGATTCAAAGATATGGCTTTTTAACCATTTTTTACCCTTTTTCTCAAAGATCTTTTGATCCAATTGCACAAAAATTAGCACCATTCGATTCAGCGTCGTCAAGTTACCATTATATCAAGTTTTTGGCCAAGAAACATAATTAGCTCAGTTTTTATTTAGTTGAGCAGACTATCAGGCAGATGATGTCGCCTATAGGCGACGCTCGTACACACAGGACGTCGCGCGGATGTCGCTTATAGGCGACGCTCGTACACACAGGACGGCGCGCGGATGTCGCTTGTAAGCGACGCTCGTACACACAGGACGGCGCGCGGATGTCGCCAATAGGCGACGCTCGTAGCGAAAGGGTTAAACTTTAGAACAAAACTAAAACTAAAAATTAATTTTTCGAACTAACTAACAACATAACAATCACTTCTGTATACAACTTTCTCTTCTTTCTTCTTCTTCCTTCTTCTCTACCTCCTTTCTTTTCCTTATAACTTTTCTTAATACCTCTATCCCTTTTGCATCCTGTCCTAGAATATTTTCCATCCTTTCTCCATTCCTCATTTCTTCACACTCCTCCACTATAGGCACAAGGTCCTCCTCTCCAACTTTGCATACTCTACATTTTTTAACCTCTTCCTCCTTCCAATACTCTCTGCCTTTGCATTCATTCCCACATCAGAACCTCGCTATTATTTTTCTATCCCCAGCTGACATATCTTTTTTCAGGTACTCCGGCTCCTTCTCTGCCTTTATCTTCTCATAATTTACATTGTACCTTGAATTTTCTATCTTTTCCATTCTTCTTTCTTTATCTTTCCTTTCCTTTCTCAATAGTATCTTCTCTCTCACCTCTTCTTTAAAAACAATGCCTCTCATATATTTTGTCTTCCCCATTTCCTCCCCCCGCAATACTTCTATTTTCTTTTTTGACTCCTTCCCTATTTCCTCTCTTTCTCTGTCTTTATCTCTTTCTCTTATACATTCTTTCACCAATTTTATATTTGAATCCCTAATTTTCTCTTTAAATTTTAACGCTCTTCTTAACCCTCTTATTCTCATGCTTTCATATTTGCATTCTTCTTCCACTATATAATTTGGCGTGTTACTATCTAATCCTAAAACCCATTTCATATACCTTCTTTGTACACTTTCCACCCTCTCATCTTCCTCCCATCCCCATATCTCCGCTCCAAACAACGCCACACTTTCGACTAGCGCTGTGTACAACTTCCTTCTTCTCTCATAACTCCTTCTAAATATTCTCTTCCCTATATTTAACGCATTTTTCATTGCCAGAATTGCTTTTCTCTTCCTCTCCTCCATATGCCTGTCTTTTTTTCCATTCTTCTGTAGTATGTACCCTAGATATCTTATCTCCTTCACTACTTCTAACTCTTTGTCCCCCCAATTTCATCTTCTTCCTTCTCCTCTTCTCTTCTCAAATACTAAAATTTTTGTTTTTTCCTTACTTAATGTCATTTTCTTAGATTCTAGGTACTTTTTAAACCTTCTCAGCATTCCTCTCAACTCCTCTTCTCTATCCGCTATTAACACAATATCGTCCGCGTAAGATATACTCCATACTTTTTCTTTTCCGATTTTGCATCCCCCACTTTTCCCATTTTTCATCTCTTCCTCCAGGTCCGCCGGATATATGTTGAATAGAGTTGGGCTCAAAGGACATCCTTGCCTCACTTTTTTTCCTGTCCAAAATTCCTCTGTTTCTACATCTTTCACTTTAACTATATTTTTTGTTTCTTTATAAATACCCATTATCCTATTCCTTAACTTTACACCCACCCCCATCTCCATCATCCTTGCCTTTAGAATTCTTCTATCAACTCGGTCGAATGCTTCCTTGAGGTTTACAAAACACGCAAATATTTTCCCCTTTGGTTTGCTCAGTTTTTCGTCTACTATATGTTTGATGGTATATATTGCCTCTATCACTTCTCTTCTCCCTCTAAGGCCCAACTGACTTTCCGCTAACTTATCCTTTATTTCCTTCTTAAACTTTTCAATAAGCATGTTTGCATAGATCTTGTATGCTGTGCAAGTTCACGTAACCCACCTATAGTTTTCTATTTTCTTTCTATCACCTTTTATATGAATCAAACACATTACTTCTCTTCTCTACTGCTCCGGTATTTTTCCTTTACCCATACTTTCCTTACCAACTTTCAAAGCGCTATACCCACCTTTTTCGGCATGTATTTCCACACTTCATTCTCTAATTTGTCCTCTCCTGGTGCCTTTTCTCTCTTTAGCCTGGCAACCTGTCTTACAAAATCTTCTCT